CCTTTTTGTTACTTTTTAGATAAAGCACTCAGTGCCCATGGAGATTCCCTAAGGCCACCGAAAGTGAACTAAAATGTTTATATCCTGAAATGATGCTGTTTAGTCTGCCTGCTTGAAAATAAAAATAAATCTGAAACCTAAGATGGTGATTCCAAAGACAAGCAATCAAGAGATACTAGCAAACATCTGGCGATATTCCCAGTATTCACATGCGTTTGTCATGATCTTTGAGTAGAACTGAAGATTTTTTTAAATAATGTTTTTAAACAGAGCCATTTAACTGATTACTGACTTTCTGATCCTGCAGCTCTGACATACCTGGAACTGCACATGTTAGTAAGGATTACTCACATGAGTAACAGTTGCAGGATTGGGTCCCTAGTAATGAATAGCCCCATACAAAGAACTCACTGTACTTCAATCTCCACAGAGCTAATAGCAAAACAGTGAAACTCAACACATCAAACAGCAAACAAACTAAAGCAATTAATGTAAACACTCCAGTATCAAATGGTAAAACATTGCGACTACATGAAGAGCCTGAAGGGGAACTACTCACATGGGCAAGAGCTACCAGATCAAGCCCAAACTTTTTGAAAATTAAACCCCAGACACTAAGAAATATATTGTGCAATAATGTATGTCACTGACATATGGTCTGATTCTGTATTCCTTGCTCAGGCAAGATTTCCAGGATTGGGCCAACCCACAGTGTCATCTCCTCTGCAACGAATCAAGGAATCCATTGTCAAAGGAACAGATTTCCTGAATTACCAACCATAAATAATGGCAGACCCTCTCCCAAAGCCATGTGTTTATTTTTCAAAGTCAAGAGTTGATTAAAGTTCTTGAGGTTTTCAGATTTGTTTTTAATATTTCCTTTCTGATATAGGGTCAGTGCATGGAAAATTGGATAAGCACACACTAAAAATATCATTCTGTAGGTAGCTTCAGCCCTCCCAAAAGGAAATCTTTATTCTCAGAAAAAAAAAAACACACACACCCTGCAATCTGAGAAAATAAGGTGCATTCTATCCAGTGCAATATATGGAAGCACAGTGGTCTCTTCCCTTTGCAAAAATATATTGCACAAACGCTTGGGCTAGACTCTGACTTTCTGTATGATGATACTGCTGATTTCAGTATAGTCATCACAATCTTAACCAAATACCACCCTCCACTAAAACATCAGTAAGAGTTAAATGACAATTAGATACAAGTTTTAGAGTGACTTCAAGTGCCTTCTTTTTTGCTTGTTTGCCGGATGCAAAATCCCAATATTTCTATTGTGCAAAAGGAGGACAACCTATTCTTAGATCCAACAAGTCGTTTTCATATGAACTGGCCAGAGGACACAACTTTATTAACTTTAAATTACTACGACACATCAGGGAAAAAAATCTAACTAATAACACTAGGAGTATTGCCCTATGGCTTTAATTTCTGTTTTCACATTGTCAAGAGCTCACACTTACTTTCTTTTCCTGCAAATGAAAAATTAATTACTTAAAAAAAAAACTAACATAAAACAAAGACCTTAACAACATTTGCTTTCTTTCCTGACTTTGTTCATGGCTATTTATGGATAATTACTACCACTGACATTTTTATTATTATCAGATTGCCCAAAATTATGAGTGAAATTTATAACTTTCCTCATACTTAAATGGAGGAAATATATTTTAAAGACTAGATTCTTAGAGGTTGTTTATTTGCTTGATTTTGTAATACCTGATAACATATTTATTTCCACACTGTCAGTTGCTTACTTTAAAATACAATCTTATCTCATTTTCACAGGGATTACTACCTGATTTTACAAATACAACAGCAAATTTAAGGGAATTCTGAGGCTTTCCTCCACATGATATTTTTCCTTCTTAAAAAGAAAGATGAGCCAGGCAGTTTACAAAAAACAAAAATTGAACAAAAGCAGGGCTCTGAAGTGTATTGCTAAGTTTTCATCTACTTTCATCCACAAGCAGTTTAGTTTTCCCACAACACATTTTTTAAAAACAAAAAGTTCAGTTTTCTTGCAACAAGTCTTGTTTTTTTAAGATCATCTAAAGAAATGTTCGTATCAGGATGGTGTCTAAAATTATCAGCCAAATTTCCACTGAAAATAGTGATTTAGGCCCTGATTCTGTAAACTTGCTCAATTTTACACATTTGAGCAATCCCATCATGTGTGTGTGTGTGAAGTTAAGTACATGGAAGTTACAAACACACACAAAATCAAGTGAAATGCTGAGTTAAATCTTTTAGTTCATCAAAGCAGAAAAACACAACTGAAAGCCTTGAGCCAGACTTTCAAAATATAGTTTGTTATCGACTTAGGCCTGGTCTACACTACAGAGCTAGGTCAATGTAAGGCAGCTTACATCAACCTAACCCTGTAAGCATCTACACTAAAATGTAGCTCTCTCTGATGTAACTCACCCACTATACCAACTTAATAACTCCACTGCTGCGAGGGGCTTAGCATTTATGGGTACATCTACACTACAGCGGGGAGTCGATTTAAGATACGCAAATTCAGCTACGTGAATAGCGTAGCTGAATTCGACGTATTGCAGCCGACTTATCCCGTTGTGAGGACGGCAGCAAAATCGACTTCTGCGGCTTTTTGTCGGTGGCGCTTACTACCACCTCCGCTGGTGGAGTTAGAGCGCCGATTCGGGGATCGATTGTCGCGTCCCGATGGGACGCGATAAATCGATCCCCGAGAGGTCGATTTCTACCCGCCGATTCAGGCGGGTAGTATAGACCAGACCCAAGTTGATGTAATTAGGCCAACACAGT